TTAAGGCAGAAAGGATCAAGACAAAGAAATGGTAAGACTCACCTCAATAGGCTTAACCAATTCTTTCACCCGCGAGAAAATCTCCGCTCGATGAGAGCGCATGTAACCGTAGAAACAATGACGTAGACGCATGGAGTCTCCGCCAATGACTACACCGTACGCTGTTTTATGGTCAATAATCTGCGCAATTCTAAATGAAGGATTGGCGAAGAGTTCTCTGTGGGTTGCGCCAGCGTATGTATCTATCAGCACGCCGACTACTTCTCTGTTGGAAAGAGCATCGGCTAGTTCCTTGATGGTGTTATAATGTTTGTCTAAAGATATACATAAAAAACATACGTTACGTATGTGATGCAGGAACTTGGGCGCAAGCACCTATAAACCAGCCACTATAACCACTAGCACAGCTGGCGCTTCTCGTTGTTAACTCCTTTGAATAGGAAGCTTAGAAGCATTGACGGCGGCGACAGCAGCGAAAACGTCACTTCTAAAATGAACTCGCGTTTTTTTCAAAATTTGCCGCTGGAGTTGACTTCTTGGGCACTGCACTCAAGTTTAGAAAGAGAGAAAATTTCGTCTTCGCTTGTTTACGTCCTCCATAAAAAGTGAAATTCGCAACTTGCACATCTACCATAATGCACCTTATTTGTCCACCAAATTTTTGCAAAAGCATTGTTTTCAATTTCTCTTCGGAAGGCTGTAATACCCAGGAGAAATGAAAAACTAAGGTTATGCAAAATTTTGGGGTCAAACAAGGGATATTATGGGAGATGTGCAAGTGATAAATTAGGGGTTTTCACGTCGTAGTCGTTCAGTGAGAGCTAAGAAATGTACAAAAAAATGTCACGCACCCTGATAAAAACATCAAACGCTTCCCTCACCTTTGTTCATAATCGCATTTCTCCTGATTCCGAGATTGTACTCGGGTGAACCTTGAATTGCTCCAATCTAAAAACCGACAAAATAAATGATGACGTAAAAAAGTTTCCAACAAAAAGGGACACTTTGTCCTAAAAGGCCGTTTTCACGTTTTAAAAGGACTATCTCCTTTAAAAATGGAAAAAAAGGTAGCCTTTGCTTTCGCTAATATGCCACAAAAGATATTGTACTGCTGTTTATAACATAGCTGCAGGAAACGACAATAACAAAAGAGTTAACAGTGGTTTTGGGGGTGGGGATGGGCTCCGCATTGTCTTGTTTTCCTGTTTGTGTCTCGACTTTTTTTGTCGCCCATTGCATGTTGATACAGACATCGGGAAAACGTTTAGCCTGCGAAAACATCCGTTTCTCCCCCCTCTTCGCCGCTGGGGACGTTTCGCGCGGAGGAACGTCTGTGACTCAGCGACAGAAATTCCATACTGATGACGCAAATCAATGTTTACTTAATAAATCCGGTAGTCATGGGGTTCCAACTGTAAATTTCTTCAATTTTAGGTTTCTCCTGGACGACTTTGGTAAGTGTTGTGTTCATCTGCGAACGAGCTCCAGCAAAACTCAAATGCTTGTTCTAGAGAAGACTATATTCCACAAATATTGACTGTTTTGTTAGAGATTCATCGCATTTACATTTGACCTTTGTGGCCTTTTGTCTTTTGTCTGTTATTCGTAAACAATAGCTAAAACAATGTAACTACTCCGTCGACCAATCAGGGCTCCTGACCGGATTCTGGACATATTTTACGTCATCAGTATGGAATTTCTGTCGCTGAGTCGCAGACGTACGCGTTCCTCCGCGCGAAACGTCCCCAGCGGCGACGAGCGTGGAGAAACGGATGTTTTCGCAGGGTAGAAAACGTTATATACTGACAGCTTCTGGTGTAACTTCGATGTCCGACTTCAATGCTGTGAGTTCCATCCTGAAGCTAAAATGGTTGTCCGGGACACAAGAACACGCAGGTAATACTCGGCATGAACCGGTCTACTATGAAAAGCCCTCGTAGCGATTTCAGTTAGACATCAACAGAGTTAAGTTACATGTATACAGTGGAACCTCGATTAAACGAACTTCTATAATTATAACGAAGTCCTCGGTATAAAAAACAATTTTCTTTACCCCAGTAATAGTAAAATAGATGAAAAAGAACCTCGATATAACGAATCCACCTTATAGGGAGCATGTTTTGCCGGTCCCTTGGCACTTCGTTGAGGTTCCACTGTATATACTTTATTATCAAAAACTGAATCACAGGATAATACAGTTCTAGAGCTCTGATTGGCTTAGCCATCATGGTATATGAGCCATTATACCATGCTCTCAAAATATGGTAACTCTACGCGTCTGCTCAAAATTAAAAACAAGCTGAAAATCGGTTGTTTTTACAAATAAAGTGGGGAAGAATTCTCAATATTTTGTGGGCGTTTTTAATAAAACAATTACTCCACTCACGGTTGTTGGATATGAGATGATTTTTGCCAACTCATATCCAACGCTCACTCGTGGAATAATGACTGTTAACTGTGATAAAGCACCACCGAAACCGTGTGATTCGGCTGGCATCTTTACCTTAGATCCATATATCTGAACCCCAGAAGTCTGTGTGATCGAGGTCAATGCTGTTGTTAGTGCACCAGTCATCAGCGAGACAACCACGAGTCCTATGAGTACCCAGACAGTGGCGAAAGCGCGCCCAATGTTACCTGCTGGGCAGCGGTCACCATAGCTATAAGCACAAAGAACATTTTTAGCCATCATGTTTATGATATTTGATTGGTAGTTGACAGTTAGATAGATAGTTTCATGCCAAAGCGTTCGTAGTCTTCAAAGAAAGTCAGTAAAGTTTTTATGCGGGAAGATATAAAATAATATCAGTGTGTCACGCATAAAAAAAAACATTAAAAGGCTTACCCTAGTGTTGTCATGGAAACATAGGCCCACCAGAGTCCTTCCCAAGTTCCACGGAGAAATGACCCTGGAAAGTGTTCGGTGTTTGATTGTGAGTCCTGTCAATGAATGAATAAATGAATAAATAAATAGATATATGCATGAATAAATGAATAAATACATAAATGAAGAAAGAAACAAACAAACAAACAAAGGAAATAATGAAATTTCTTAGACGGATGAGCTGTCTTTGTTAGAACATAAGTAAGTTGACTTGCTAAATTTGTTATGAGAAGTGTTTAGGAATAATAGCAATGCAAGATCAGAGAGTAGACCGCTACTGACAACGTTACTAGCGTTTGGGGTTTAATAAGTTGTCAAGGACGATACGATGAGATTGATCATTGCAGCACAGCCGAATCGCTAACAAAGGCCACATGGTTTATAACGACCACTGGTTATTATCCCGACAGATACCTACATTCAATATTTTTTAAACCCCTCTACAGTAAGAAACCAACCCTCACCCCCAACAACAGCTAGGTACCTCTTCACTATGATGGACTTTCTGGAAAGGTTCGACTGTGGGACCTTTAGTAGCGGTAACTTAAGGCCACTTGAGGAAAACTTGCTTCAAAAGTTATGCAATTTAAGGCGACTTAAGGTTCCAGAGTAGGGCTTTGTTTATCACAATTTGCACACAGATAAAAACATGAAGGCACGTACCAGCACCCAAATGAAGAAACCAGCAATATAAGCCATGATAAAGGGTATCAGCACAATAGGCCAGCAAGCAAAAAGAGCCGAAACCATGGTATCTTTTACATTAGAATTGTCTGTATACACGATAAACACCACGCCCGCTGATTCCACGAAAGGCGAATACCCAAGACCTCCCTTGTAACTGTCTTGTAACTTGTAGCCTATTACAGGGAATGAGAAGTCCGTCTGGCTGTCAATGTTTTTTCTAAATTGCTCGATGGTTGTCTGCTGGGCTGCCTGGTTATTTCCGTTCAGCCTGAAATCTAACCTTGATCTGTTGAGTTAAATGATATAATTACACGTTAATTTCCTTCCTGGTGAAATAATTCCCATTCAAGTCCTTAGAGAGTTTTTTTTATTTTAAACACATCAACATCTCAGACAGAAGCGATTTCATAGAGGTGCTGATGGCTGTCGAGATTAATGCTTGGGGAATCCTCCTGAGAAAAAACTCGCCGGTGAAGGCACACGATACGTCGGCAAAGTATCGGCCGACTATCGACCAATTATCGACCGAGTATTGACCGATAGACTGTAGCCAAGTGTTGCCAACATATCGGTGGATACTCGACAGGCTCTCGACCGATATCCGACCAACTCTCGACCGACACTTGGCCGATACTCGGTCGACTCTCGACCGACATAGTGACCGATATGTCGATCGACTGTCGATCGAGATATCTGTCGATACATCGATCGACACCCCTCGAAAGATACATGACCCCATCCCAGACCTAACCAACCTAACCTGCCAAGTGTGATGTAAAAATGAATGACGCGATACAAATAGATTAAATACATGTTTTACGCTTATCGTTGGCCTCAGGTGATAACACTTACCGACACCTTGATTATTTCGGATATCACAAAAATTGAATCTAATAATTGTCTCATTAGAAATTGTTTTAAAGAAAATCATGCCAAACACACCGTCACACGGAACACAGTTTGACGTTGATCCAGAAAATCGTACATTGGCGGGCGCGCAACTTACAGATTAGTCAGTTCTCTACAGGAAGTTGGAAATGGCCTATTAAGCTTTCTGCAATACAAAGGTTTGCTTGAGAAAAGGTTCCAAAGCGTTTTGTATTAGGCAGCAAAAATAACAACAAAATAAAGCCCGATTACCTGTTATGTTCCTGACACCACCCACAGCACTGATCCACGACGTGGGTCAACAGCTTAGGGATTATTAAACCAGAAGAATAACCAGACGTGAGGTTTCCGAAATTCAAGTTCACGTAAGGCGGATAATTTCTCCAGTTCGTTGTCAAATGCGAACGACATCGGCATGTCTCTGTAAAACAGATAAGAGTTTGTTTGTTAAGCTGATGGTTAGACACTGTGTTAGTCCGTTGAGGTGACCATCCTGAACAAGGGTGTTAAGGGAAAGTGTTGCAGAATGATGCTCTATTTGGAAAAAATAACTGAAGATGGTCCTTCGAACTGGATATGGGACGGCAACTTGTGGTAGGCAATGTTGTTGCCACCACGAAGCACAGTAACATAATCGGTGAAGTAATTAAGAGTTTTACGCCTGATGGAACGCTTGAATGTCACAAAGGTTTTCTCATCTATACCTAAAGACACCGTGCTGTAGTTGGTGCACTTGACGTTCAACCTGATGATTCGTGGTGCATAAAGCACTGTAGCCTGCGACCAAAGTCTTCATTTGGGAGGAATCGCGAGAAGTCACGCGGAGTCGGGGTTTGCCCGGGGGATATTGAAGTTTCGAACTGATCGGCGTATGACTCACCTCCAAACGTGATACCCTCGGGCCCAGGTCCCTTCTTAGTTCTCGCGGCCACAGTTATCTTATAAACCGCAAGAGGTTCGAGGTCCTGTAACGTCATAGAAGTAATTGATCGTCCAACATCTTCACTGATAAGATCACCCTCCGCTGTTAAGTCGCCAATCTTTACGGCTTGGTAGGTCACACGATACCCCGCTAAAAAACCGTGAAGGAATTCAGTAGGAACAGGTTCCCAGGAAATGGGTATTGTTGTTAAACTTGTGTGATTTTGAGCTTCAATGTTGGGTGGTGGTTGACTGGGAACTGTGAATGAAACAATGGATGGTCAGGACAGATTTTGACGTGAAATACAGCTATTTTGAAAGCAGGTTGAACAACACGTTTACACGTTTTTTTAGGGTGTAATCCTATCACGCAAATTTTAACTGTCCCCGGTTTGTAGTATCATAGACCACGCTCCTTGATCTACCCTACCACCCCAGTATAGTTGGGCACGATCTGCATGAGAACGCAGGCCACATCTGCCTAGTTTCAAACCGAGAGGGGCTGGGTACGAGTCGGTTTATTATGGGCTAAATAACACTAGACCCCCATAGGCAGAAAGAGCACATCGAGGTTACGAAAAATATGAAGTTTGGTGTCGATCGGGCCATTATTGAACAGGACAAAGCGATTCAAAACCTTGAAAATTTATAAGAGATGTTTGGATTGCGGGACACACCGTCCGACGTCTATATATTTCTTGGTAAATTTTGGAGTTTTTGGATGGCTGTATCTCGTTCAATATGAGCCTGATAAACACCAAACTTGAGAATGTTGCTAATTTCAATGTGCTCTTATCGATTACATGGGTCTCGTGTTGTTTACCCCATAATAAACGGACTTGTACCCAGCCCCTCTCGGTTTAAAACTAGGCGATTGAAACGACCCCTGACGAAGAGAAGCATTCCTCTTACCGTCCTCTTCCGTCATAACAGTCTGCGAGGCAAAATTACCAGGTCCAACGCGCGTGAAAGCCCAAACACGAATCTTATAAACGGAGGCCTTGTGAAGCGACTTAAGCTTAAAAGAAAAGTCATATTCTCCCAGAGTGATCACAGCGCTGGTGCCATTCGTCAAAGATGAGTACTTTAGTGCGTATCCTTGAATGATGCCATTTCGGTGGTCCGGGGGCACTTCATCCCAATGAATCAATAGGCTTTGAGAATCAAGAATGACGATACCGAGTTTGGAAGGTGGAGCTGTTGGAACTGCAACAACAAAACACAGGTCCATTAACTAAGTTGGTAGAAGGCCCGGGGCAGGGAGGGGGGTACTTGGATTAACTTATACGACCCCATCCAGCGGCACATCTCCATTAGCCCTTTATAAGGAAGTACCCCCTCCCGGATAGAAGGTAGGTCATTCGAGAAGAGGATGGAACCAAGATCCTCTAAAACCAGGGTAAATCTTACTCAAATCTGTTCTGATTTCTGATCACAGCGCCACTTCAGGAAGACAAAGAAATCATCTCTTCAGACAGAAAACATGTCCAACCAAGTCGCCAGAAATACGCTGCTTTATGTCATAGGCAGACTGAAACCTCTTTGGTAGTTCTTTCAATTGGTACTATTTGTTTTTCAGCATGACATTTAAATTTTGACTTTGGCCACCTTTGGCAGTAAAGAGGTCAAAGGAGGCAAAGAATAACCCATATTCCTGTTTAGAACGACCAAGGAACGTAGAATCGTTGTAGCGATCCACCTCCAGTCCCACTGGGGGCATATCGTACCTACTCTTGAGCTTATGTGGTAGTCGTAAATCACTGACATACATAATAAAATTTGAAATCTCTCTCTCTTACCCCATTCCCATGTTTTTACATACAAAGGATCGGTGAAGTTTCCGTCTTCAGTAGCAAATGCTGCAACTCTTACAGCGTAAGTTGTGAATGGCTTTAAACCAGTTAACAGTGTTTGGATGTCATTTTTACCAGCTCCAAAGTTGCTGACAAGATCAGGTTGATCGACACGGTAATATTTAATGCGGTACCCTTGAAGAAATGGCTCATCTTGCAAAGAGACTGGGCTCCAGGTCACTTGAATCGTCGTGGCGCTTGTGGCCTGAGCAGTAGCGTTCACCGGCGTTTTATCAGGGGCTAGAAAAGATAAATCACTACACCGATCAGTCAATTCACCAGATAAAGTAATAAACAACTTTAATATGGTGGGTACCCCAATTCAAGTCCTCCTCGCTGTCTTTCCTATCCATCAACTCCTTAAAACATCCGCGGGGAAATGTCAGGGCGTGAAGCTCAGCTCAGCCTCTAGATTGTATTTTGCGCTGAGTTCTTAACCATCACAGGTTTTCCATCTCTTACCAACGCAAAATCTTTACAGGGAACCCAACTGGGTTTTGAGAGTCCTTTCTCGCTACTTGTGAGAATTGCCTGTTAGAACTTACCGTAAATCCTCTATTACGCCCCCCTTTCAAATAAGCCCGCTCCCTCTAATAAGTCCCCCCCCCTTTTCAGGGAAAAAGAGTTTATAAGCCCTCTCCTGTATTAGGCCCCCTTCCCTCCCCTAGTTATTCTTCACTAATAAATGAGAGACTGTATTAATCAATCCCGACTGTAAAACTTCGTGTGGACTGATCCGGGATGGTTTATTTACCAACTGGAAGTTCGGATTTGATTCTGGTCCTCGGCTGCATGACCTCCAACCTTCTTGTTCTTGAGCTTCTCCACTTTGTATTCTAGTTCGTTATGGAGAACTGACACCATCGTCTTTTCTAAATTAAATAAGCCCCCCTCTCTCTTAAGCCCCCCCCCCCCTCAAATGGGCCTGAAGTAAATAAGTCCTCCGGCCTACGGGGGGCTTAATAGAGGATTTACGGTACGTTAAATCCTCTTGATTTTTTACGTCCTTCATTCTTAAAATAGCAAATGCATAAAGCATGGACATGAACAATTTAAAAAGAATGCACTTTCAAGCGACACAAACTGAGCGAGAAAACAAGCGCCGAGCGGTTCTAGTTAGAGTGAAGATATCCCGAGCAAAATCACGAAATTTAAACTTGAATCTGAAAACTTTCCAAGTAAATTCGTGGAAATTCTCTTTGCCTTCAATTTGATGTTTGCACACGTCGAGACGCCCAGGTACTAGATTCAGTGTTCTTTATCAGTGGAACTGGATTCCAATCGTTAGTGGAATCCGGAATCCAAAGTCCAGGATTCCAGATTCCCTTACTTGGGCCGAAAAAAAAAACGTCTCTAAACAAGAGAAACAAGAATTCTGAATTTGCCTTCGAATAACTGGGCCAAGGTAGATAGGACTGCGGGCCGACAGAAATTTAAACATGAAGTCACAAGAAACATACCTCCAGCACTTGTGGTTGTATTTATCAATGAGCTCCAAGGGCCAGGTCCTTTTCTGGTGAAGGCGCGCACTTTAAGAGAGTAGTTAGAAAAAATTACAAGCCCCTCAAAGACCGCTGTGCGAGTAGGAGCTTGAACGGTCATTTGCTCGTTGTAGCCATAGGCACCGTAGATAAAAGCCTCGTATTTCCGAATGACACCATTCCGAAGTTCTTCCGATACTGGAAGCCAATCGAGGTTTATGCTCGTGGTGCTGAAGGAAGTCCCGGTTACGTTGATTGGAGGTCCTTCGGGGACTATTGTGAAGCAAACATAAATATCAGGGCCCAGTTGTTCGAAAGGTGGATAGCCCTATCCACTGGGTAAATTACTATCCAGTGGATAGCCCAATTGGTTTTCGCAATACTTATCCGCTGGATAGTGATTTATCCGGTGGATAGCGCTATCCAACTTTTGAACAACCGGGGCGAGTAGTATAGTGGGTAAAACTTGCACCTCGTAAAGTAGTCACGTCTTCATTGGGTCTGTGTCTTATACACTACATTATCTGGTACAGACATCATTTAGTAAGTCCTGACAATCTTTTGTTAGTGGGACGAACAAGCAGTAGGTCAATAAGACAGACAGTCATTTAGTCTTTGAGATGGGAGTCATTGAGGAGCTTAAGCAACGACGACAGCTACGGCAACGAAAACGACTAAAAAGGAATAGGTTTAGATTAGCAAAACAACAACTTTTTTGTACATTTCTTGGCCATCACAGCAAGACTACGACGTTGAACTTCCAAACTTCGCGTTTTTTTGAGGACATGAACACGACACAACTACTTAATTTTTTTTCCTTAACTTCCATACAGTCTCCAGAAATATTGCTAGCGTATGACGAATTGAACGAGATGGAATAAGTGCGATAAAGGTTCAAGCAGCGCGACTTCACTCTTTAATTGACGTTTTCGTAGCCATCGCCGTTATTGTTGCCGTCGACAGTGATGACGAAATTGGAACAGACAGCTATTTGGTCAGTAGCACAAGCAGTTCATTTGAAAAGTTAAAAAGAGAGTCATCAAGTCAAAGTGACAGAAAGTCATTTTCACAAAACGTTTGTTGTACGGTTTGGCAAAAACCAGAAATTTCACAATTTCTCTGCGTTAGTCAGGCCTTTAGTCTGCTAGCCTATTACTCTAGATCTGTTGTTTTATTAAGTTAAAGATAGCTATGTATGACTATAAATAATGTTTGCTCATAAGTTGCACTAATTATGATTGTCATCAAAGAATGTCTTTATAAAGGTTACTACAAGGCAACTGTTGAATGTACAGAAATGTTAGGATGATAAATGACCAAGTCAAATATAAAGTACGTAATATATCAAGCATGAGACGCAGTGTCTCATCACCAGATGAAACACTGAGAAGAGTGTTGAAAATACGACGCGCAGCGGAGTGTTTTGACGAACTTCGAGGTTTTTCATCTGGTGATGAAACACTGTGTCAAATGCTTGATATTACGTCTCAAACAAAATGATTTTAGAAGGAGAAATTAAGGATGCAAAAAATGCGCAGTTTTTCATCTGATTTCCAAACACTCATTAAACATTGTTTTCTTTTGTATTTTCTTTATGAAGTATTAATGAGTTTGAGAAATATTGACCAAGTCCTGGCGGCTGGTAATCAAGTGTCAATGAAATGCATTGTGACTCTTACCTCCCTCATCTGTCCAACTCTGTGTTTCACTAAAATTTCCTGCCCCAGTGCGTGTATATCCCGCCACGGATATATTATACAAGGTATACACCTCTAGATTTGTGATATTTCTATACGTACTCAAGTCGTGTTTTATTTCTATGAAGTTCAGGACGTCTGGAGCAATCGCTTTTATGTAGCGCACGACATAACCGAGTAAGATACCAGGTATCGTAGACTGGGATATGCTTTGCCACGTGACCAGGATGCTTGTGACGCTGCTGTTGAACGCGGTCACTTGAAACGGAGGAGCCCTGGGTACTAAAAATATATGTGAAAGTGGGCAAAAAAAACAAATAAACCATTTAACAGGTGCTCAGTAAAGTATACCGTGAGCTCACCCGTGAGGCAAACAAGTTGGAAATGCTGACCCTGTACACAAAAAATATGCGTTATTGACCGAGCGTGAAGTCAAGATGGTTGAATGTTGCCCGAGGCGAAGATGAGGTCAATAAAAAGGCGAAAAAAAAAACCGAGGAGAATTTCCAGCTATCTTGGACAAACAAGCTTGGTCAATAAAGGATATTATTTCATAGACAAAAAGGCAACTTTTTCTTGCGGGACCAACGAGGGCAATCTCGGGCGGGCAAGATGGGCAAGTAGCCAATCAAAACACAGGATTCACTTCACCTTGACCGCTCGAGCATTCGTCCAAATAATAGAGCAATTTATAGCCTCTGCCACTATGCCAGAAATTTGTATCAGGGACAACCGTCCTAAGATATCTCGTAAGTACTACTTCTTAACACTAATGCCATACTGGCCGTAAAATTATTAACCTTGGGATACATCTTAGCTCAGGCTAGACTTGCTACAAGTCAACCTCTCATTAGATCTTAAAAGTGAGCGAAGCGTGCTTCAATGCATGAGGTCGCGCAGCGACCGAGCAAACGACGAAGTCTCGAGGTCGACTTGTTTCGCCAGATCTCAGTGGATTTGAATCATATTATAAATTCACGCGGCAAAAAATGATTGACATATGCTGAGTCGGAAGCGGCGTGAAATATCACTCACTGTTCTATTGGCCAATTGTCATGACGTCACCGGTTGAATTTTCGACCGGTGAATTTCGCGCCAAATAGGTATGGAAAGACCTTTAAAATGGCATAACCAACTAGGGAAAAAAATAAAGGACTTTTAGAAAGTCTAAGCTCAGGGCAAGCCTTAGATATCAGATCCGGGTCCCGTTGTCCTTCTATACCCACACTGAACGTATTTATGTTTATTTTCTAGACACGAGTGTTTTTTTCTGGAAAATATAACACTCGTAAAATTAATAAAAACTACATCCGGGAACCGAGTGGTTTATTTTCCATAATCTCACACATGAGTTTATCGATGACGTAATTTCGGTACTTTCCCTCTATTATTTTATCAATGTCTTTTTGTCTATATAATAAAAAGAACATTACACGGCGACATGAAGATATGAACTTTATTTTCTCGTGACAAAAACAATATTTTACGAACGAGCACAGCGAGTGAGTAAAATATTGTTTTGCCACTCGAAAATAGAATTCATACCTTCGCGCCACCGTGTAATATTCTCTCTATATATTTATTTATTTATTTCAACAGCCATCATAAGTAAAACCCTACCTCCCTCATCCGTAGAGACGTTGACCACTTCACTATAAGGACCTAAATCCACTGTGTAAAACGACACTTGTATAGAAAACACGGTGTATTCATCCAAACCCGTCAATTCGAACTTGAAAACGCTGCTGTTTGTTGGCGCTGATCTTCGTCGTCTGCTGTGCTGTCGGTGAGCGGCGCACGTCCGAACGGCTGTATTTGCATCAGCAGCTTTTGAGTAGGTAAAGCAGAATTTTCGGATAATGCCATTTAGTTTTGCCGGGGAAGATGCCTGAAATTCAACCATGATCGATGTGGAGCTTGTGTTGTACGCGGTCAGGTTTGTAGGAGCAATATCTGGGGCTGTGGAAGTTCAAATTTATGCGAATTATGCAAAGACGTTTGTAAAATATATGGTACGAATAAACTAAGAACGCACAAAACCACGATAAGCGGCCGAAGGAAACAATACAAAGGTACAATACACACTGTCCCAGGCTTTAACTACAAGGCATTGCGATTGACATAGAGGGTTAAACCTATAGCCCAATAAATCGCAATGCTTTTATGTCACCATCAAAAGCACTCGTTCTTCTTTGTCGTAAGTGCGCAGTGTAAGACGTCATTGGGTTTCACAGGTCTAAAGTACCTTGTAAGAACCAAGTTTGGCGGGGTGCTTATTTCATTTAGTTAAACAGCACTGCTAACAAAGGAAAAGGAAGAAATATAATGGAGACGTAGTAATGTACTTTTGGATACTGTACACATTATCCGCAAACAATTTCTGCAGAGTGATCTCCATACATTTCCTTAAAGAACAGGTGAAGTTATGAATAAATGATCAAAGCATTTTTTTTCTTTGTTGATCAATTTATTAGTTGTTAGAACCTTTCCTCATAATTGCGCAGTGATATTGTTGGGAGAAAGTTGATGTTGGTGACCCTTGAGGCTTAGAGGGTTAAAAAAACAATTTACGGTAGAAGGCTTACCGTAAATCATCTATTAAGCCCCCGTGGGGCTTATTAATTTCAAGACCATTCGAGAGGGGTGGGGCTTAACAGAAATGGGGGGCTTATTTATGAGGGAGGGCTAATTTAATTTAGAAAAGACGATGGTATCAGTTCTCCAAAAAGAACTAGAATACAAAATGGATAAGCTCAAGTGCAAGAAGTGGGAGGTCATGCAGCCAAAACAAATCCGAACTTTCAGTTGGTAAATAAACCATCCCGGATCAGTCCACACGAAGTTAAACAGTCGTGATTGATTAATACAGTCTATTTACTAGTGAAGAATTATTAGGGGAGGGGAGGGGGGCTTTATAGAAAGGGGGCTTATAAATATTCTTCCCCTGAAAAGGTGGGGGGAAGGATTATTAGAGGAAGGGGGCTTAACTGAGATGGGGGTGGGGGGGAACTTAATAGAGGATTTACGGTAAATGTGTTCAGCCTTGTACACTTACCATCTTCATTCGTGCGAATAATGGTGGCAGAGGTGAAGTTTGATTGGCCCTTGCTGTTGACCGCTGCTCCCATGATCACGTGTTCAGTGTATTTTGACAAATTGCCCACCGTAGCATTCAGCACATCTCCATCGAATATCAGCACTCTGGTGTACCCTGTAAGCACTTCTGTTATATTGAATACATAGTGGATAATATTCCCCAGGCGCAGCGGTTCGGGAACTGAGCTCCACTGGATGTGTATGCTTGCCGAGCTCAAGTTGTAAACGGTGACGTTTAAGGGGCCACTTTGAGGGACTAAAAAGAGTAAACAATAAACAACAAACTAAAAAGTAAACAAACAATCCCGTTCAATAGAGGGTTTTCACCTGAGGTCACGGCGGCCATATTGGTGTCACAAAACAATGAAACGGCGGCCATGTTGGTGTCCCAAGCCAATCCTGTGGGAGTTGATCTCTTTTCTTATGCAAACGCTTTCTTTTGTTCCAATAAATTTGCATAGAGGCTGGCCACGTGAGTGAAAACACTCTATAAAGTTCTAGCTAAAAATGGCGGCGAGGTAACCTCCCAGAGTCATAGTCCGACGACCGTGAAATCACGTGTTACAGAAAGTTTTCACATGACGTCACGGCGGTAATGTCCACCCTGCTCGGCATAGAGCCTCCAGTAGTTTAGTGATTAGAGCGTCCGAACTAGAACTCGGAGGGTCGTGAGTTCGATTCTCACCTGGAGCTGGGAATTTTTTCTGAGCTTTCTGGTCTTAGAATTCTTCTTCCTCCAAATTATATTGTTGTTCTAAAACAATGAAACGGCCGCCATGTTCGTGTTACCAAACCAGTCCTGTGGGAGTTGAACTCTTTTCTTTTGTAAATGTTAAAATAAATTTGGATAGATGCTGGCCACATATGAGTGAAAACAATCTATAAGATGCTGGTTTCTTGAAAGCGATAATGTGCTCTTCAAATACAAATATAATTCTTTGTATTCCCGTTTGGAGCTTTCTTTTAGACATCCTAATGCAGTGCTTATGGTTAATGGTTTATCTTCACTCTTTTTTGGATTTTATGTCGCTATTTGCAGCTGGAATTGTTTCTTGATTGTTTCCTTTTAATAAGCGGTATTTTAAAAAGCTAGTATATCGAATAACGGGAAAAAAGATAAAAAGGGCTTTTTTGTACTATTTAAAGAAGCAAATAAATAAAGATGACAACAATACTGAAACGGACAAAGAACAGAAAAGAATGAAATCTTTGAAGATAGTTCAAAGAACGATAATTTGAAACAAGGCGAAACGAAACTATAAGAAGATGCCAACGAAAGGAGCTCAAGAGAAGTCACGCAAAAGATCATCATAAAAACAACAAGAACAACAACTAAGATTGATCAACCGCGTGGCTCGGATGACCACATAAAATGGCAGTCCCGTCTCCAGTAGGAGACGTTAACCGTTTAAGCCCCAATATCCACACACAAATTCTCCAAACTGATCTCTGTATATTTCCATAAAGAATGAGTTGAGAGAATTTGACAAAAGATAAAAGCATTTTCTCTTAGGTGATCATTTTATTAATTCTCATAACCCAGTCTCTTGACAATGTACGGATAAAATTGGGAGAAAATTGATGTTGGTCACAATTGGGACTTAAAGGGTTAATATAGCGTCCGCCCAATTAGTTCTTTAGTGCTAAATACACTGACACTCAAATAAAAGTGCATTTATCTTTACTCACCATCCGCATCAGTAAAGCAAAAGATCCTTTCACTAAAGTTGCTCCTTCCTGCCCCATTCAACGCAGCCACTTGAATCTCGTACTCGGTGAAAATTCTCAGTCCTTCCTTAGTAGTGTTGAGGGAGCTGTTACACACAAGACTGTCTCTCCACTCTTCTGAGTTGTTTTCACGAGGTCTTATACGCACCTTATAACCGCGTATGAAACTGTTACTCATTCCTTGCGTGGAGGGTGTTTCCCAAAGTATTGCCAAACTTGTTGAGCTTGCATTATGGCAGTTAACGTTTGTTGGCGGGAAGCTTGGTGCTATGGACAAAGCAACGAGAAAAGTGATTAAAAAGGTTCAGGAGACATAGCCTAGAAATAGCTACCCTTATTGTAAGGTATACTCTCTTAAGAGGACCTGGGAGAAAATCGGTCCCAGTTAATCTTGCTACTAAGAGATTCCTAAAGGCCGGTGTTGATATCACTATTTGTCGATCAACCTGTGAATGCATGCAGGCCTGATCTGACCTTAAAGGAAAAGATAGAAAAATAGAAAGTGGCGTTATGACAGTTGCCAGTCAGACTGGTCGCTACTTCTCAGTGTTTCCATCAATTTTCCGTTAATCTTTCTGTAGGCAGAAGGTGAGCCGGACAAAGCAACGAGAAAAGTGATTAAAAAGGTTCAGGAGACATAGCCTAGAAATAGCTACCCTTATTGTAAGGTATACTCTCTTAAGAGGACCTGGGAGAAAATCGGTCCCAGTTAATCTTGCTAATAAGAGATTCCTAAAGGCCGGTGTTGATATCACTATTTGTCGATCAACCTATGAATGCATGCAGGCCTGATCTGACCTTAAAGGAAAAGATAGAAAAATACAAAGTGGCGTTATGACAGTTGCCAGTCAGACTGGTCGCTACTTCTCAGTGTTTCCGTCAATTTTCCGTTAATCTTTCTGTTGGCAGAAGGTGAGCCTCTACCCCCCCAGCCCCTTCTCCAAAGCTTCATATTTTTTACAAAGGCAAAGCATTTACTACTCGCAGAAATAACTATCTATTCTATCTGCTAATATTAACAATCATCGACCATGAATTAAAAAGAGCATCTTTCTTTTAGAAATGACGAGCAAAAATTTCGGCTATTCTTGTTTTCTACCACTTCAGTGGAAATCCTGCGAAATGAATTTTACCTTGTTCCAGGGTCGTAAAGTATTGAACTTCGCTTGAATTTCCCAATTTATTTCGCGAATATAGTCTTACGGAGTACTTGTACGTGGTATAGGAGGGAAGATTACAGATCTCGACTTCACTGGTGAGGTTGCAAGTCATATGCGTTGCATTGGATTCTCCAACCACTGCATATGACACTTGGTAACCTCGTATCGCTTCACCTAACTGCTCCACTGGAAAAGGGTCCCACTTGATTCTGACGCAAGAGGTTGTTACATTTACTACAGAAACGTTTGTAGGTGGGGCATCTATAAAAAAAAAGAGAGTTCATGACTAGTTGGAAACAGAGTTACAGAACAACAAGTAAACGTCACCTGAGGCCAGTCAACCTTCAGCCTCGTTCTCAGTCATCCTCGGCGAATTCGGGTACGACGTCACTCACGACTATCGAGTACGGTTCCAAGCCTCTTCCGCGCACTAGGATAGCGCGAATTGGCTTGAGGACGAGGCTGGTCAACCTTTAATGTCCACCTTAAAAAAGTGTTCACTTTGTAAAGAGTTTGATAACGGACAAACAATTGATGCTCTGCAGAGACTTGTTAACCCTTTAAGCCCTAAGAGTGATCAGCATCAAATTTCTCCTTGCAATGTCAATGCTTTGTAAACCAGAGTTTTTATGAGAATTACGGACGTGATCACACAAAATGAATTTTCTTGATATTTTATCAACCTCTCCTCACTACTTCTGTAGGAAATGAATAGGCGCAACAAACGAGAATTCAAATTTTGATCTTAGGGTTTAAAGGGTTAACCGCTGATGTCCACCCTAGAGAGGAATATTAACTTTACAGACCGTTTTGTGAGAGACAAACATGTGATACTTAGCTGACATCGTTGATCGGCTGTTTATCAGCTCCCTTTTATAGGGCTCTAGAAACTACAAAACATTCAGTCTTTCCAAAAAATAACTGCTCTCTTCTGGCTCCCTTGCGTTGTCAAACTCTCCCCAGACCCTTCGTATGACCAGCCAAAAAAAAGGTTGTTTATTAATCTAAGGGTTTCGTTACAGATAAATAGTAAAATCAAGTTTTCCATGGAGTTGCAGAACGTGTTCATGATGTAATAGAAACGTTCCTTGCACATGAAGATGGA